TATGTTTTGGAAACTATTGTTGTATATATACACATGTAGATTGTATCAATAAATCAAGTCATTCAATTCTAAAATTCTACATGGTATCAGAGCAATTCTTGGGACAACCCTAAGACTACCGCACCCACACACGTCCGTCCGGCCGCCGCTCGTTCTAGCCGCCACCGCTCGTTCGTCACACAGCCACCAATCGTCCATCGCTGACATCTCAGCCGCCACCTATCACCGACGCCATGACAACCGACACAACCAAGAAGACATGGTTAATTCATGATCCGTCCACGATTTATTATCTTCATCCGTCAGAACACGCTGGAAACGCCTTGACCAAATACCTACTCAAAAGTGATAATTATGAGGTCTGGGAAAAATCCATACGTAATGCTCTAGGAGGACGGGGCAAGGCTATTTTCTTGATACCTGATGGCGTTCCGAAACCCAAAGATGAACGAGAACTCACCGCTTCGGAATCTAACAACTCTATCATCTGTAGTTGGATTTTCAATAGCGTGGATGAGTCTATTCAACCAAGCATCGTCTCTCACTCCGTTGCTTCCGTTTTGTGGTCAGATCTGAAAAAGAGGTACAGTACCTCAAATGGCCCTCGTATTTACCAATTAAAAACAAAATTGAACGCGCTACGGCAAAAGGGGCAGACCGTGGTTGCATATTACAATCAATTCATTACTCTATGGAATCAGCTGCATGAAACCGGCGACCCTACCGGCGGTTGCACATGTAACGCCGCCTCTACTACACGGGCAAAATTCGAACGGGAAAAGACAATTGATTTTCTACTTGGATTAGATGATGAACAGTTCGGTCCTCTCCGATCCAACCTCCTGGGGACTGAACCCATACCAGATTTGGATAGAGTTTTTCATCTCGTGTCACAAGAAGAACGACATCGCACCATCATTCGCAGTCGAGATGACAAAACCGATGATATGGCCTTTGCAACTCGCCGGGACGACCGGATCACACGCCCTCCTCCACCTTCATAAAAACTTCTCTGCACACATTGTGGCCGTACAAACCACAACGTTGATGCCTGTTACGAACTGGTTGGGTTTCCGGCGCATTATACACGTCTCTCTGCCAACAGAGGACCGTCCGCAAGTAGGGGCGGACGTGGAGGCAGTGCTGGGGGCCGAGCACCAAACACCGGACGACGCGGAGGAGGTCGCCGAGGTACACCAGCCGTCGGCAACAACGCCGGTGTAGCCCACGCCGCAACTGACGAGACGTCAAACCCTAATCTCAGCGATCAAATGGCCCGCCTCATGACATTGCTTGAATCATCCAATGCTAATCAGTATAATGGTAAGGTTTTTACTTCTCGGGAATGGTTGATCGATAGCGGAGCTTCACACCACATGACGGGCGACTTGTCTCATATGTTTGACATTGAACCCATACCGCCATGTAAAATAAATCTTCCCGATGGTTCTAGCATTGAGGCAACCCAACATGGGAAAGTTCGCATTTCCCTCGCCTTATTACTTACTACTGTGTTATACGTGCCAAATTTGCATTGCCATTTGATATCTGTTGGGAGACTTATCCATCAATATACTTATCATGTACTTTTTACTGATCAAAGTTGTGTAATACAGGACCCTTTGTCGCAGACGGAGATTGGACGGGGTGAACTGCGCAACGGAGTATTCCTTTTCAGGCATCAGGCCGCCGCCCATAGCACCAGAGTCAACCCTCACCTTCTTCATCAGCGTTTGGGTCATCCGTCTCCACAAGTTACATCTTTACTTCATAAAAACAGTTCTGTTGTTCAAAAACTACAAAGTTGTGATATTTGTTTTCTATCCAAACAAACTCGTTCGTCATTTCCCATTAGTCATAATAAAGCTACTGCAATTTTTGACTTAATACATTGTGATTTATGGGGTCCATATTCTCCTTGTTTGTCATCTGAAGCACATTATTTCCTTACTATTGTTGATGATCATTCACGAGATGTTTGGGTTTATCTTATAAAAGAGAAAAGTGAAGTAACCTCCTGTCTCAAATTTTTTTTTGTCATGATCCAAACTCAGTACCAGAAAACTATTAAAGAAGTCCGATCTGACAATGGGATAGAATTCTTAAACACCCCTCTTCGCACATATTATGAGTCCCTAGGGGTCTGTATTCAAACTTCTTGTGTCGGAACCCCATAGCAAAATGGACGGGTCGAGCGTAAACACAGACACATCCTAAACGTCGCCCGTGCTCTCATGTTCCAAGCATCTCTTCCAATAGAGTTTTGGGGAGAATGCATCAAAACTGCTATTTATCTTATCAATCGAACCCCAACCAAGCTCCTTGATGGGAAATCCCCACTCCAAATCCTCACAAATAAAATACCCGATTTGAGTCACCTACGCGTGTTCGGATGCCTATGTTTCGTCCGTCACGTATCCAAACCACCGAACAAATTCTCACCCCGAAGTATCCGATGCATGTTTGTTGGTTATCCTTTCGGTACAAAAGGGTGGAGAGTATATGATCTTGAAAACCATCGCTTCTTCCATACCCGGGATATATCATTCGACGAATCCCAATTCCCATTCCAGCTTCCCTCGTCGTCCCATACTCAACCCATCAATTCCCCTTCCTCCTCCGACTTCCCCATACCGTTGTCACCCGCCGAGGAACCCCCTGCCACTGTCACCCCTTCGGCGTCTCTGCCCGACCAACCCAACATCACCCTCCCCTCCCAAATAGCCACGGTACCGACCAGCACCCCACAGTCAGTACCAACCGTGCAGCCCCAGCCCCCAAATAACACCGTCACAGCCCCCCATCAACGACGCCCTCCTACCCGTTTTGACGACTTCATCTGCTATTCAGCTCTATCCATCACTCCGCCACCGCCTTCCCCTGTCCAGTCTTCCTCTTCAGGTACGAGGTATCCAATTACTAACTTTGTTTCTACTAAAAAGTTATGTGACAGGTATAAAGGATTTGTTGGGGCCATTGATACACAAACCGTACCCAAAAATTTCCGAGAGGCGGTCCAACATGCCTCATGGCGGGAGGCCATGGCACAAGAACTTTTGGCGCTGGAGCGTAACAACACTTGGGAAATCACGGATCTGCCCCCCCATCGATCCGCACTGGGCTGCCAATGGGTGTTTCGTACTAAGTACAAATCTGATGGTACAAAGGAGCGTGACAAAGCCCGTTTGGTCGTCCTCGGCAATCATCAGGAATGGGGAACCGACTATACTGAAACCTTTGCTCCGGTTGCTAAGCTAGTAACTGTTCGTGTCCTTCTATCTGTGGCCGTGGCACGCAACTGGGAAGTTCACCAGCTTGACATAAACAATGCCTTCTTACATGGAGATCTGCGAGACGAGGTCTACATGAAACTTCCTCCCGGGTATGGTCATGCGTTTCCAGTGAAGGTATGTTGCCTTCGCAAGTCTTTATACG